ATGCATTTTCAAATAAAAAGGAAACACTGGATAATCAATATGTGAGTAACCCAGTCGTACTTGGAGTTCAGGAACAAGTAATCCCCAATAATCTCTAGTTAATCTTTACCTTTAAAAGTACATTCTCTTCAGACAGCATAAAGATTGTCATATAAGCAATTAAATGTACAGAACATGGTCCTATTATAATATATAGTTCTGTGGTAGGCTACGTGGTGCTATGATCTGAGAGAAGCAGCTAAAAGCATCCAAGCAGTCATGTGAATACGTCAAATTTTTGAAAAACAGACTGGAATACTGTTTTTTTTTCGCATTCTCTTTCGAATCGACATACAAAAACATGTTCACAGTATCTATCCTGATCTCTATGTAGATCTATTTAAACCAAATTGCTGAATGTAAGTAAGGTATTAGTCATCTGCTCAAGTCGCTCGAACATATGTTCCCATTAAGTTGTTAAACTTTCAAACTAGATCCAGAGTATATTATTTCAATGCGGATGTACATATCATTTGAATTTCGTTTTATTCAAAATCAAAACCAGATTATGTGCAACAATAATTAAATATATCCAGCACAATACTTTTGGTTTAGATCCATGAAAACTATGTTTAGTTTATTTCATATTTCATTTTGAAAGATAAAAAAAGAAAAGTGTTTTCCAGACCTTTGTTGCTTTTGCTGCTTCAAATTAATATAATAAAAGAAAAAGAAGTAAACAAACGTTTTCCTTTAACCACATGCGACATTTTCGAAAACTATAATGAATTTCTTTATAAATATGAATTCTTAAATACATGTTTCTACACCATAAACCAATAATTAATGGTCAATTATCATCCAATAAACGAAAACGTGTTAAACGCCAAATGCAATCGTAAATTCAAGAATTTTATATAAAATTCCCTGGAGCTAGTAGGAACGAGTAAATGAAACTTTTGGGAAACGTATCTAAAATAAATAGAACAGAAGGGACGAAAAACTAAACGGTAGAACATTAAGGACGCAATAAAATACTAAAAAGAGTTTGGTCATTTTTTGGTCTTTTCTGTGTGTTTTAATTAATCCTTATAAATATATATGAATAAAGTGATTTAGGGTGTATATCGGCAGCGAGGTCATCAAAAGTCGAGAGCGTAGAATGAGAAAGAAACATCACTATCTTATGTACCAAAACGACATATTTCTATTAACACAATAACATTTTTCTGTGTTTTCTATGTAACAAAGTTTTAGTTTTCTAAATATGAAATATGAAGAAACCTTACATGCCGAGTTCTGTCAACTTATTATTGGTTATAGTAATAATTTTAGATAATTCCAAGAGAATAGCAAAAACACGCTTTGCATTTCATTATATGGAATCAGTCTTTCGAAGTGGTTATGCAATCAATCTATCAATATTTAGTTATTTGAAGATATTTTTGGGATTTGGCTCCTGTCCTTTTGTGAGTGAGTCAGTGAGTGTTAGGAATAGCGTGAGGCGGCGATTGATGCAATAGAAAATTGAGAATTTATTTTTCCTTTATGATATCGAAAAAATTGCAAAACTAGTAGATTCTTGCAGGTTCTAGAACAGACCATTTTATAAACATATTTTCATTTTAATTTGAAATCCCACTCTTAATGGAATTTCAATTTAAGTTATATGTTGAATGCCCAACTAACTGTCGGCAGTAAAGCGGATGATGCAAAATTTGCTATGAACTGCTACATAACGTATTTTTGAGTGTTCATCGTCCGGGAAGTTTTTTTTTGTCCTTCATATAAAATGTTCTTATTGCTTACTTGGCCTAACTGAAAGTTTGCTAAGCTTATAAAATACAGCATTTAATATGTTATCAGGCGTTCCTTTATCAATATTAAATTGAATATATAATACATATATTGCTGGTTGCAAATTTTTTCCTGCCCAGGGCAACACATTTGTGCACTGGAGCCCAGAAATTGTGTAAATTTGGTTCAAAAGCAATATTTGTCAATATTTAGATCAATCAAACATAAATTAATTTGGAAGCCCGATAATAACCTCGATAACTGCAATTGATTTGCGTCGCATGAGTTTCAGACGCCAATCAACATGAGTTCGCGACGAAGCCCATAATAAAATATATAATGTCTTCATTTATCTATCAGTCAATTCGGATACAAGGTGATCCAGTAAGGAAAAGTCAAAAGGGCCGACTATATGATGCATATTTAGTAGAGATCCCGTAACAAAAGAATTTATGAATTTTTATAAAGAGAGCTATATTTAAATCTGAACCGATCTTGATAAAAATTTTGGCAGAGGTATTTCTGGGATGTATCTGATATCTGGTACTAAATATCATTGTTGCCGAATGCATATTACGAATATCTGGTACTTTAAGACCAAATCGGATGAAACATATATGGGCACTATAGCTGTATCTGAACCGATTTTCTCCAACTTTGATGTACTTGCTTCTAGATTGAATTCGGTTAGATTTGCCAAAATTCAGGTCATTTAGACTTAAAATGGCCATTTGGTGCACAATTAATCCGAAATCGGGTATATCTTCATCTTTATATCTAAATCTGATCCGTTTATCACCAATTTCAATAATGTTCGTCTTTGTGCCAAAAAAATATTTTTTAGAAATTTTCATCTTAATCGGATATTAAATGCGACCAGCATTTTGTTTACAAAAATACATAAAATGAAAATATACATGGACCGACGGACGGACGGACAGACGGACTGACAAGCATAAATCGATTCAGATAGTGATTCCTTGGAGATCCTCAAACGTAACTATGGGTTTATCTCGCTTCCTTTTCGATGTTACAAATGCACAAAGATATAATACCCTTAACACTATGTGGTGTAGGGTATAAAAACTTTTAAGACAAAAATTAACTGCAGCAGCAATAGTAAAAACTTAATCCTACTGAAAAAAAGCTGTTATGCCAGCTGATTATTTATCTCTTTTTACATCCTTCAGCATCATATAATATGGATGACTTAGAAAGTTTCTGATGTCGTCTGTAACTTTTCGAAATAAGAAAATATTCATATTTTTGATCATAGATGTCCGAAAATATTAGAAAGTTAATTGAAGAATAATATTCCTCATTAAACAACAGACAATGAGAAAAAAGTCTGGCTTGTTATGGCAACGTACATGGCCTAAAACCAATGTTTTATTTTATCAAAGGAAAGTTCTATGTATATTTATATATATTTGTCTGCCTTTTGCAATCACCATAGCATCCAAATGAATCAAGAGAGGAAGATACGATTTTTACAAATCTGGCGGTTTTCAGCAGTCAGATCAATGTGTATACCAATTGTTTACATATACTACACGTTTACATTATATTTACATATACTTTCCAACAGAAGTTCCAGGAAGTCAGCATTTCGTGCTCTTTGTGGATCAGGGACCTTTATACAAAAAATTGGAATCATCGGGCACCACCGCACAATATTAGGTTTTTAGGCAATATTTAACCGGATCAAATAATATTGGAGAAGACCATCAAATATATAATCCGGGTTTTCTAAATTGATTATGAATTATAATAAAAATTACAAAAAGAAAATTTGAACAATATAAGATGAATCTTTTCAAAAGAATCAGTCCCACTCACGTTTACGTTAAAATTATGGTACAAATAATTTGTAGGTAGGATGCCTATTGGTCTGAAGCACAACGCGGTTCAAGTGTCAATCGATCTTTTGGACTTCCAACTTTTCTTCAAAGGAATAAAAACAATAGAGAAAATTTCGAAATTCTTTTAATTTTGATGGGAACGAAAAAATAAAACCTTTTTTTGACCGAATATAAAATCTGCTGTTTTACTGTTTTCTTTGCCAAAAAAAAAAAAAAAAACTCAATTGTGTGCTGGCAAATTATTAAAACCTATTCACTCTAAACACATTTAAAAATTCTTGATTTTCTGAAACAACAAATTCCACACAAACATCGTTGTTTTCCAATTAGTCGGTTTATTCGGTTTCTCATATAAATTCTATATTGGCAACACTGAAAAGTGGATGGCGCTGTTGTGTAGTAACTTGCGAAACACGATAAGTAACAAAACGAATGAAAATAGAGAAGAGAAACAAAACGTGACAAAAAGACCCAAACAACGAGAGGCAAGCAAAAAAAAAAACGAGAAAAATACAATGAAGAGAAGCACAAAAAGAAAATAAAAAAAACAGACACAAGCGAAAAAGGAAGAAAATCAATTCTGAGACTGCACAACAGCATTTTACAAGACGCACACACTCATACATCTGCAAAAAAGCACATTTTTTACAGTTCGCAACTAAAATTATTTGTGCGACAGACATTTCAATTGCGAGCGAGCGAACGAACGAGCGTGCGTGATTGCCATACATTGTAGTTTAAAATTAAAATGAACGCTGATGCTGCGGCTCTGCCCCAAACATGTCCAAAACGTTGGGAGTAAATTGCAAAGACGGAACCTAGCCACCACATCCATCGACCGACGACCAAGCAAACATCAGAGTGAAATAAATTATTTCGCCGGTTGTTGTTGTTGCGGTATCGTCTCTGTTTGGCGGCGCACAGCGACGAAAAGCCCCGAAGAAAATAGGAGACGACAACGACGAAAAGCTAGCCAGACATTAACTGAAAAAATGTGGTGTGTATGCAGCAGCAGTAATGGCATCGCATGTACATAACGTTAGTACGTGTGTACGTACTTTGGTTGGTACTGATATGCCGCCTTTGGTTGCAGGCAGCAGAGCCAGCCAGCCAGTCATCAGGCCCCCCAACAATACACCCCACACTTATTTAAACGATCGCATTCACACTTTTTTCTACAACGCACACACACACACGAAATCATACTCACACGGCACAGAGACAAATCAATAGAATGCAAATTTATTCACTGTTTTTTTTTCAGTTTGTTCTCTTTTTGTATAATAGAATTCCAACAAAACAACCAGCAGCACATTGTAAACTCGGTATTGAATCTTAGTCGGAATTAAACAACAAAATTACCTTCTTATTGCCGTATCTCTGTTTGTTTTTTCTCTGTAATACGCTTTGAATATTAGCGGGCCGCTTAGCTTATTTGATTTGTTGGGTTTTTATTTTACGTTGAGTTTCTTGGATGTTCTTTTTTGTTTTTGCGTTTTCTTACAAATCTCATTCAATTCTCGGGGTTCACAAAACTTTGTGTTTCCTCCTCTGATTACTTTTTGCGTTTTCTTTACAAGATTTGTGGATAGTTGTTGGTGTAGAAAATCAGTGCTACAGATTGCATTAACAATAACAATTTTAATAAAAATTTTCAACAAACTTCACTTGGGGTTCTGTGTTATTAATAAAAATATCACTTTTTTGCACTTTTCTTTTATTGAAACGGGGGGAGAAGATTTGCAGTTAGACAATGCTTATTGCTCTCCTGCTCAATTCGCTATTCCCTTTGAATGGAAAATTTGTTCAGACACAGAATGTAGTAACTATTTTCTGGTTTCTCATTCAATTCTGCTGCTATCCGCTTCTGTTTGTGGACCAACAAACTTTTGCTGATGTCTGGTTGTTTTTTTATTTTTATTTTTTGTCAATTTTTCCTTTTTGTTTTCAGTGTTGCACGCACACACACACTCGAACACAAGCACTTAGCCAAGCCACAAGAAAACTGTTTAAAGTGGAGATGTGTTTGTATAAAAACCAATTGAAACGGCAAAATGCTTTGTATTTTTTACTTTGTAAATAAATATCAAATCGAAGCGTTTGGATTTTGGCAAATTTACAATACTTAGTCACTGGACTTGGTACCGACGACGAAGAAGCTTATGCTGGGATTCGAAAAAGAACTTTTCCTTCTTTCATTAATAAATAATTTTTTGCTTTGTTCTCTTCTCTTTTGTGTGTTGGGTAGATTTGGAACGTTGTGTTACGCGGATAGCGGATTACGATACGAACACCACCAATAACTTTTCTTGATTGAATTTACAATGGTCGTTTGCTTTTTCTCTAGCCCATGGCTGGTCAGAGAGTATTTGAGTAGCTATGTTTTGAGATGAGAGCGAGAGAGGAAACGAGATTGTTGTTTTTGTAATACGTGTAAAAGAGAACTGAAAAACAAACAAAAACCCAACCATTGATGCTTTAGTTAGTGATGCCAACTTAGTATTTCTTCTATTCTTTTTAAATATCTGAACAAAAAAAATATACTGGAACATACCTTTTTATCTGCCGAGTTTTTTTTTCAATAATTAAAGTACAAAACAGACTGGCACCAACTTTTGTCCCAGTTAACGTTATTGGACTTCAATGATCTCCAATAATTGGAGAAGGCAATAACGGAATACGGCCCTATCGTCACTGGAAGTCTCCCTGTGCTTGTTGTAACGAAGATGCGCTGCTTTGCTCCTAATTTCAATACAATATTTAGTAAAATGATCGAAAAACTCTAATCAAATTCAAATTAAAAAATAATACTTTTTTTAACAATAAACGGAGCTATAAAAAATAAATAAATGGGTAGTAAAAAAGGAAATCTGCTAAATTTATTTTGTGAAAAAATCAAGTTTACTTGCCTGTTTAATATGTACATTTTAATTTCATCTCTGATTTTGTGTATATACTATGGATTTATGAATATAAATTGTGACAATGAAATGTTGTCAAATGTATAAATTTGAAAAAAAAAAATGTAAAAATATGATTGCATGACTTTACCTTCTAAAGCTGCAAGTACATAAGAAGCTTGAAGTCATGAGTTGTGTTCCAGTACTTTTTTAGTAGTAAAACTAGCAGAAGAGAGAACAGTTCGAAATGTCATTCTCATTTAGGTTTGCTCAAAAAATAAGGGAACGGAAAATTAGCAGAAATGCGATAAAATGTCAAAATTCAAAATTCCAAAAGTAAACAACCTAAATCGGACTGGTGAAACCTTACTGAAAAGAGCGCCAACATTTAAAAAATGAGTATTGAAGACGATAAGTTAAAATTAATAATTTATAATAATAATTAATAATCTGATTCCTCATTCAGCCAGTCCTCTTCACTGCTGGAATCATCCAAAAGTGAATACATCAGTTGCTCCATATTTTCTCTTTTTGTTATTTGCACGACAAATATTAGTTTTTCTTTAGTTTTCAAGTTGATCATTTTCTTTATTGAAATGTATCAATACATTTTTCAACCTTGTTAGCCCTGCCAATTAAATGTCAAATTTACAATATGCACATTTCTGCTCGGCCAAATTCATGTAGCTAAAATAAGCAGAAATGTGCACCACTCAGCGCCATTTTTTTCTCGAGAGAGCTGCAAGTTTTGCTAGTTTTTGGAGTACGGGAACGCGTTGTAGCAGAATTAGTGCTAATTAGTACTAATTTGCAGGTTCTGGAACACAACTCTTGACTTCAAGCCTTTTATGTACTTGCACCCTTAGTTCTACCATGGATGGAAAGTACAGGGTTGCCCATATTCGACGGACCCATCTGGCAACGCCATAACTTTTGACAGAGATGTCACATAGCTTAATGACATACCGCGTTTGAAGCGTCAGTCCAAGCAGATTTTTACCATGAACCAATACACGCTACGCGAGCGCTCTGAAATAGTTGAAATTTACATTCAACAGAAGAAGTCAATTGTGGAAACTCAACGTTCGAAGTGCGCCTTCTAAGAACACCATTATGCTAGGAACACAATTGGAGCGAACGACGAATTTCGCCCTACGCGGCGACAAAATGAGCCGCGAAAATTCGTCGTATGGAACACAATACCGACGAAATTATAAAACAGCTGATGAAGTTGTTTACTTTTTGCTCATTTGTTGACTACAATGAATTATACAAGAACACATAATTCTTTACGTTCTCTATTATAATTTCACTTATGTCCATCTTCTCTATTATAAATTCACTGATATCCATCTTCACTCAGGCGCAAGTACACAAATAAATAAACAAATTAATTATGTTTTTTTTATACGAGTAACAGATAGTAGAGTGACCATAACAAATTTTAAAGTAAAAAGTAACTTTATTTACTAAAACACATACAATTCGTACAAGTATGGCCACCTTGTACTGTTTTGTTCGCCGGTCGCCGGCGTATGAAATAGAAATAAAGCTAATTGAGTTCGCGGCGACCGACGAAATTTTCGCCGGTGCCGTGATTGTGTGCACTTCCATATACACATATGTGTTTTATTTTTGACGACGAACATACGCCGCGAAAAAATTCGTCGTTCGCTCCAATTGTGTTCCTAGCATTAAGCTTTTTTACGAAAAATTTTCGAATGGTAAGGCTCTTTCTAATCCGAAGAGGCCATATAAAAGTCGACCAAGGCGATCGGCCGAGAATATCGCTGCCGTACGAGCCAGTGTTGAGAGGTCCCCAAGAACATCCCAAAACGCCGTTCTCAGCAGTTGGGCATGGCTCGGTCCACTTTACAACGAATTATTCGCATTGATTTGCATTTGTTCCCTGCGGACAAGCCTCGTCGATTCGAATGGGCCCAAAGAGTCATCGAAATGGCCGAAAAAAACATGGGTCCGTCGAATATGGGCAACCCTGTATGACAATAAGATAAAATATGTACATCTATTTTGTTTCTTTTCTTTTTTTACAATGGTAAAAGTTGCGAAGGAAGTACATTCATCGGTTGCACTCTTCTTCAATTTTTGATGTTATTTATGCTATGCCAGAAGCTGTTTGACTACGATATTCGATTTTTCCTTTATGATATCGACAAAATTTGCAGAACTAGCAGATTCTTGTAGGTTCTGGAACAGATCAATGGTGTTCCTGCGAATTTTAAAAACCAGATGAAATGTCGATATTTGTTTACGATTTTTGGCGATTATATTTTTTCTGTGATTTCAATCACAATAATGCATTTTGAGAATACATTTGATAGTCAGCTGACTTGGCAGCGTGTTGTGTTTTCTCTCATCAGAGGTACACTTCTTGTCATGGTAGAAGAATATAGGTAGACGCATCGACACAGCTGTTGGGTCAATGAACTGTCAAACCAATTTTGGAATTGAAAATGTTGAATGAAAAATTATTTAAATTTGTTAAAATTCTTGAAAAATGCATATCATAACAACCTCCGATAAGTGTCGTATATGAAAACTTATAAAAATCTATTCAATTTTAAAAAACTCATTTAAAATTTTTTGACATATCAATGTTCCCAAGCGTTGATGCAACTACCTGTATTCTTCTGCCTTGCTTCTTGTCCACGAATTCGAGTTTTGTCAAAAATTAGGAAAAAAGGTATATGTACATTTGTGAATTTAAGTATTTTTTTAATGTCACTATGGGTTTTTACAACTTTTTATTCCAAAATTACCCACCAAAAGAATTTGTTTTATGAGGGAGCTTTGTTCTACTTTCTATAATTGTGCTACGATAATATCCATCTTTGCATTTTCTGCAATTTACCCTGCCAAATTTCACTGATTATAAAAAAGGTTTCCGTCTCTGAATTGTGTACAGACAATGAATTTTTAAATATTCATTTTGACAATGATATATCAAATGAATAATGTTGAATAAATTCAAATACATGATAGCATGACTTTACATTCTTAACTCAATCATGATTTTATGATTAAGTTTTAATATTTGCGTAACATTAGAACAGCCTACTGTATGAAAATATGCAAACACAAGTTTCATTTTCTATTGTTACTTTCGTATTAAAACCTAAAAACAGTTGTTTTGTGTTTACATAGAACTGGAATGGGAAATGGTATGAAAATGCGAAAAAAAAAATATCGTTTTACATTTTCATAAAACCAGAATAGACCAAGTTGTATTAATTCCTTTAAGAGACTGACCTAACTTAGCTAACTTACAATTTGGTTTAACCAGTGTGCAGTATTTATTAAAATATTGTGGTGGTAAATTATTTTAATTGCAAGTAGATTATAAGGATTTTTTGAAGTCAATCATCAGCACATACAGCGAAATTCAGTGATCTATGCTTAAGAAATCAACAAATAAAACTTGACAATTGTCATACTGTCTTTAACTATCTATTTCAATTGCCTAGATGCCTGTCACACAAAAATTTTTATTTTGACAAATAATATGTGAATTCAGCGGTTTTGTATTACTAAGTGTTGCCAACACTTCCGCTACCTTCATATGTTTCTTATATTGTTTTTCTCTATTTATTACACCACACTAATGCTGTCCCTTTTTGGTTAATGCAAATTTCTCACTATAAACATGACTGAAGAGAGAAAGAACATAAAGAGAGAACGAGAAGAACAAAACAAAGTTAGAAATGAAAAAATCCCATTAATGCAAAACCAGTATTTTCATTCTCAAAATAAGTTTCCATTCTGCTCAATGTAATAATCTCTCTCTCACTCTCTTGAGAGCAGTCTTTATTCAATTGAGTGAAATAAAAATGGATTTCGTTGGGGAATTGTTGGCGTATTGACAAAAATCTTCTTTGCTATTACAAGTAGAATGTAAACATGCAATATTTTAAATTAATAATTTGTTATCAATAATATATTAAAATAATGAGGACATTTCTACATTTCGCCAGTAGGAATGCAAGAGAGTAGAATTAATTGGTTTTGTATTGAGCGATAAAAATGTATACATGTTTTAAACGTAACCGTCATTTTTGTACCTAAATGGCTCTAAAATCCTTATGTACCAGTACTAGCCTACTCTATTTGTACTTAAACTAAGCTAAATAAAGAAGACAAAAAAATTGGAAGCACTCATGGAAATGGTTTTTTTCCTTCGCATTCACAGGGAAGGTGTAGCAGTTGTCGCTACTTTTTGGATTTGCTCATCTTTTAAATTTTTCATAATATTAAATTAAAGTTACTATAAAAAAGAGAGAAATTTTCATACTAATTGATTAAATTGATAAATTTTTAAACATTTTCTGTCAGAATTCCACACCATTATCCAATTATCAGCATAGTGTGCTCCTACAGTCGGCATTACACTAATTCTAAGAACAAAATTATGTGCCTAGTCAAATTGTTAATTTCTATTTTGAAAGTAGTCAAGTTTTCCATACTC